CAGAGCTGAGGGGTTTGATTTTGATTGCTGAAAGACAGAAAAGGAAAATAATAAGACAGTGAAAGGAAATCTGCTCCTCTCAGTGTTTTTTTGCTTTTTGGTGGGGAGTGGTTGGCAGGGTTTGTGTTTCAGTTCTCCTGTGGAGCCAAACAGATCCTTGTTGACTCCACAGCATCCCAGCCCTCAGGAGGGCTTTCCACATGCTTCAGGCTGGAATTACTGCTGAAAGAGGTTGGCTTTGCCCTCTTTGCTTTTATTTTCATTTCTCCCACGTGATGGCACAAACCAGCAGCGTGGCCTGCAGGGGAACAGGTCAGGAAACAAAACTGAGTGAGCATTTGTGGAAATTTTAGTGGCTTCAACTGATTTGGGGAGAGGTAGAAAATCTCAAATTATCTGCTGATTTCTATTTAATAACCAAATATGTCTTCCAGCAACACAGTGTTGCTGGTGAAGGAGTTGTTTTGGGCCACACCTCCCAGCTCATCTCTGGATAAGGGAAAACTCTAATGGACAGCAAAGGTGGAATTTTTAAAAATTACTATAAAAAATGTGTGCTCGGCTTAACACAGGAGTCTGGGGGAAATAATAGATCCCTCGTGTATTTGAGAAGTGATTTATGTACAGTAAACAAAAAATAACAAACACACACTTGGGATGTGCTGGTGTATTATCACTGAGACAAATTAACAGCTCCCCTTGTTCTTTACTTCCCCCACTTTCACTTGTAGTCATCTTGATCTTCCCTCCCCTTCTGCTTCCACTAATCCTCACCAAAATGGCTGGAAGGAGCTTCTGTTGTGGTATGGAGTGTTTTCCTGAGATTATTGCTACTATTTTAGCAAGTTGAATAGATTTACTGAATGCTCAGGAGGACTTTTTGATCTGGACTTTACAAGCCTTGGACCCTGTTCAAGAGTAAGTGGCCAGGAGAGAGCAGAGGGATTGCTCCCTGTCACCTGAAACAAACTTTTAATTCATTTCAAGCTGTTCTGTGAAACCAGAGATTGGTTAAGGATTAAAAAAAAAAAAATCACAAATACTTTATCAAGTAGGTCCTGCTGCCTCAGCCCTTTGTTCTCATTTATGGCAAGTGAATTGTATTCACAGCCATGTGTGCCCAAATCACAAATAATTTATCAAGTTATGATCTTTTCCATTATTTTACAGGATGTGTGCTGAAGGAAATAGCAGAGCTGAAGGCCTGGGTTGAAGGGGTGATGTCTGAAAGGAGCTCCTGGTGGTGAGCTGGGTTAGAATGAAACTCAGAGAAAGGGAAGAAGATTTGCAGCATCTCTGTGCCATTGTTTAGATGTTGTGTTTTTACTGAGGTTTTGATAAAACTATTATTTAAAAAAAAAAGCTAAAATCTTAAAACATCATGAAAACTGCTTGCTGTCTGCAAGATGATTTGCAAAAGTAGACAAATTCTGCTGTGCAGTTTCTCTGGATAGTTTTTTGCTCCCTTTTGAGAAGCCTTCAGAAACCTCATCTATAGACTTGGATCCTTTATCCTAAAACTTGGCCATTCCAGAATTTCTTTTGCCTGAGGAATTCACAGCTTTTTGCAGGCCTTGTAGGAGTTTTCTTTGTGAAGATACAGGCCTTGTGAGAATGGGGTTGAAAGTAGGATGAGTGCTGGAAGGTCCTTGGTATACCTGGACATTCCCCACATGGCTTTCCTGCCCCTTCACCTGCCAGGAACAGCAGGGGATGGAAATTCCTTTGGGATGTGGTGACTGTGTCACAGAAACATCTTCCAGAGTGGATTTTATTTTCATTTAGTGTCACACTGAGTGTGTTCACAGGTAACCAGTGCAGGGCTGGGTGGCCTCACATGGAGCCTGGCTCACGTTTTGGAATTACTCCCTCTGCTTTAGTGGGATGTGGGAACACAGTTGGCTTTGGTGTGGAACTGCCTGTGAGGTGTCTAAAAGAGGCTGTGGCATAAAACTGAGCAGCTTTTTCCAAGTTACTCTTTATATGAAGTTGAATATTCTGCAGTAGGGTGGCTGGAAACAGTATTCCTGGGCAACACTGAGCTGCCTTTCAGTGGGAAAGGGAGTGAAGGGAGCTGTGTGAACAGCAGGGCCCGTGAGCCAGTTCTCAGGGGCAGGAACAAGCTGGGGCAGGCAAACAGGTACCCAGCCAGCTCCCTGAGGAGAGTTAAACTCAGCCTCAGCTTGCTAGGCCTGACTTAAATCAGCATTAACAGAGCATGAGGAGAAGGAAGGTTTCACCCAAGAATAAACCATGGATCCAGTTAACAGGTAAGGGATATAGGAAATTCTCACCGAGGAAATGAAATTAACTGAACAGGGATTTAAAAGAAGTAACTTTATGAACCCATTAATAGGTGTTCCTTGATATTTTGCAGTGACGGGATCAGCGGGCCCTGTGTGTCGGTCAGCTGGGCCTCAGTGCTGTGGGCTGACACTCTGCTGTGTAACGTTTGGAGTTGCTCCTTTTTCTCAGAAAACTCAGAGTTCAAAGCCCCAAACTGGATTTCAAGGGCTTTGTTCCCTCACACCAGCTGTTTGTGTCGGATCTGAGGCCTCATTGCTCGAGTGGCTGCGATGGCGCCCTCGGCAACCCCAGTTCCTCAGGGATAAAGGTGTTGCCGGACCGAGCTCCCCAGAGCAGAACTTCATCGGCACGAGGCACAAAAAGCTGATTTTTTTTCCTTTGTTTGCTTTTACTGCTTCTCACAAATGTAATTTATGTATCTCCTATCCATTTCAGAAAGTGTGGGATGGTGTGAAACAGGCCTTAAAAATATGGCGAGTGAACAGCAGCTTTTCCTGAGAACCAGGTGCCTCTGGAAGTGTGGAAACCTGCGTGTAAAATCTGAATTGTGTGGAAACAAGATGGTTGGTAGCAATTCATTATCCTGGCAACTAGAATTTCCTGGCTGTGCTGGTAGTGTGGTTACTTGCTGTTAGTTGGTAACCTGCCTAATCCTACTAACCTTCTTATTGTAACCTGCCTAACTATTGTTAGTAATCGGCTTTGGTTACTAAGCCCTAACTATTAGTAGCAAGTTTTGAGCTGGGCAGGTGCAAATACACTTGTTTTTAGTCCTGTTGAACAACTGGCTTTTGCTTGTACCGTTTGTGCTCACCAAATTAAAACATGGTCTCAATTAAATCAAATTAAATCAAATTAAACATTGTGTTAATTATCAGGAAATAACAGTATTTCTTGCCAGTTAACACGTGCCTTCTGTTGTGCCACCAAAGCATGTGGGGGATTGTCCCATGTGGATAATCCTGGGATGCAGGTCTGTGACACACGGATCATAACTGGACAGAATTAAAAGGGGTGAAGTCCTGCTTGTCCCTGTCATTTCCTAACCTTCACCCCCTTTTGCTGGGAGAGTGGATGAGTTAATTTGACTCAATCAAAGGGCTTGAAAGACAGGGAAGAAAAGGAAGGATGGGGAGGACAGAGCTTGTGCTCCTTGGGCACAGACAGGCTGTTTGATGTGCTCAGCTGCCTGTGGAGGGATTTAAACAGTGGTGCTTACTCTGAGTGTGCAGAGATGCCCAGCAGGACTGGGCTGAGGGTTTATTGGTGTGTCTGTGCACACTCAGCACGGTGGAAACCTCTTAATGCTGTTATTCCTTAACAAAACTATCTTAAGCAATAGATCAGGTCCTGTAACTTCGTGTCTGTGTGGTTTGCCTTGCCCAGTGATCCCTGATTTCTCTGCCCCATCTGACTGCTGGGTGTTTGTAGTACAAAGTAGGGACAGGAATTTTTCTGATACTGTTTGTAAGTCTAAGTTCTGATCTGTCATTCCTCAAATACCTGAAATTCCTACTGAAGAAAGAAGCAATTCTGAGTTTTGCAGGAGCATGCAAGGGCTTTTTTTTTTTCTTTTAACCAAAAAATTATACAACCAGAGATGTAAGACTGTAATTCCACTGAAGGTGAGGAAGGTCCTTTGTCATTCTCTTCATCTGTAAAAGATAATGATGTAATAATTTTTTCCTCAAATGAAAAGAGGATGTAACCTCCTGCTTGATGTTGTGATAATTATGTACATGAGGAGATGGTTTCTAGAGGAAACAGTATTTTAAATACAAAGAATGCTTGAAAAAGCACAATATCCAAAACTTCTGGCTTCTTATTTCAAAAATAAATATGTATAATTATTATAGAGAAACACTCTCTTGCACTTGGAATTTATTATTTAATACTAGAGTCTACATGCAAAGTTATCCCCTTCTTCTCATGTGGTATTTTTAATCCTTTCTCCAGATGCACCTTTCTCATTTTCTTTGCAAATTTTTGAACATGTTTCTACTTTTGAGCTCTGGCCATTAATTAAAATATTAAAGACAGAATATTCAATAATCTGTGAGAAACTTTCCTATTCATCTCCCTCCTGCAGCCTCCCTGAAAGCACAAACTCATCAGCATTTCTCCTTTAATGAGCTTCTTACCTCAAAATGCTTCTACTGTAATTTGCCAAAATCTTTCACCTGGATTTCGATTTTCATGTGGAAGTTACCGGTTCTTTTCTTAAAATATAGTTATTTTCTTTCAGTTTTTCTGGTTTGTCTGCACGTTCCTCTTCTTTGTTTGAAGTATTTTTCACTTTGCTTCACGAGGTTTAATTCACCTTGACCCGTCAGTCTCCGTTTCTATTCTGTCATCTCTGATTTTTCTTCGCTTTCTTTCCTTTCTAATTCCTTGCTGGAATGTTTATCCCTTTATGTTTGTAATGCAATTTCTGAACAGGTTGGGTTTTTTTTTTCCTACCTAAATCTCATTACCCTTCCACTTTGAAAAGCTGATTTCCATAAGTGGTTCCTTTAATATCTCCAAGTTTGATCTCCCCTCTCTTTCCCAAATTAAAGAATCCTGGTGCATATTGTCATGTGAAAACTAAAATACCTTCTTGTATTAAAACCATTTCTATTTGATCATTCTTGTTGCCTTTTTCCAGTCACATAATTCCCTGTGAAGATGGGAGGAGCAGGAATGCAGTATTCAGGATGGAACTGTGCTTCTCCCCCAGTTTTATAGTTTGGGAATATATTTTACCCTCACATGCATTTAGTTGCACTGATTAAAACTGAACTGTATCTTCTTCCATCACTGCCATCAGGCTGGAAATCCAAGTAAACCACACCCATTGGATCTCTTTATTCCACATGATTCTGCTTGACTTTTTCAGAAATGCTGAAAAAAAGCTGAGTTATGACTTCCAAAAGGTTATATCATATTTTATATCGTATTTCAGTGTTCATTAATTCTGTTACTGTTAGTTAATATGAAAAAACTTCAGTAAAAAACTCAATCCAAATTATATATAGGTCCCCAACTCCGTCTTCTAAAACCATAAAAAGCAGTGATTTTGCTACTTTCAGCTCAAAGGAGTTTTAGTAGTACTTTTATTCCCTATTTTAATAGTTCAACAATTGTGTATTTGTTCTTTTAGAACACTTAGTCGAGTGCTGTCAGATCTTAGAAACACACTGATTGTTTTTCTGATTTGAAATCTCTTCCAATGATCTGAGAAAAGCCATAATTTACAGCTCCTCTGCCTTCTTTCAGAAAAAGATTTAATTTCCTAAAGAGACAAGTCCCAGTAATGTGTGATTATTAACTGGACAACTCTTCAGAATTACAAAATGCTGCCAAACACAAGCAAACCAACCTTGAGTTGGGATTGTGGGGCTGCCAGGTATAAGTAGAGATTATAAACTGTGATTTTTACCTCGTGAAGGAATGATTAATATTTTCAGTATTTTCATTAATTATTAATGAATATTTTATTCAAGTGTTTTTTAAAAAAGTTTCAGTTTCACATTAGTTATGCTCACATTTCAGAAATAAATAAAATCAACGATGTTTAAAAAGAAACTTTCAAACATTGAGAGACTGTGTAACAAATTAAGGAGGAAAGAACAATAACAGGTTTTCTGTGCATGTGATGTTTCCCAGCACTGAGTGTGACAGGTTAGCAAGAAAGTCAGTCATAGGAGAAGGAAAAAAACAACCCCCAAAGCTTTTATTTCCATTCTTTGTTGTGTAGTAGCTGAAGCCCTGAGTAACCTGTGTGTAAGAAGAGGTACTACAGCACTTCTTGCCATAGCTTGACACAACAAGAGTTACCTGAGGTAAACAAGAGTCTCCCTTAAGTGGGATATAATGGCATTTACTGCTCCAAACTCTTTGCCAGCATGTGGAAAAAGCTGGATGTGAGACCTCAGTGCTTACACAGCACACGAGGTGTTGTTATTAAACAATGGTTGTCGTTTCTTTGTTAAGATCAGAGGTGCACTAATGCCACACAAGACTAGAATAAAGAAGTTTAATACAAAAGTAAATTATTTTCTTGGTGGAAACCAGTAACCTGAGCTTTCTTGCTGGAAAACAAACCAAATTGCTGCACCGGGAGGACTCTGAAGCGAAGAGGAAAGAATTCACAGAATTTTGTATCAGTAACAAAGCATCAGGTTTTTTCTCTGGTGTCTGTTCCTCTTCCAGCAATAAAAGAGGTTCCTGAGCCCTGGGACATCCTGTCAGTTGGCTTCTTCATCACTGGCTTTGTCTTCAGAATCATCACTTTCATATTCCTCATCCTCATACTGGTAGGCCCCTTCGGCCTCAGGGTCAGACTGACCTTCCTCCTCCTGCTCCTGGGAGCGCTCACACCCAGAGCTGGGGCTGGAATGATCCTCCTGCTGCTCCTCTTCCTCCTGGGAATGGCCAAGGGACTGATCTGCCTTTGCTTCCTCTTCCTCCTCCTCCTCCTCCTGGGAATGGCCAAGGGACAAACCTGCCTTTGCTTCCTCCTCCTCTTCCTCACTGTTCCGGAGGGAGAGTGGGCTGGACTGAGGCTCAGGAGCATCAGGGCTGGCTCTGGGCTCTTCCTCATCCTCCAGCTCACTGCACTGCTCATCTGGGGTGGAGGTTTTGACACCTTTTCCCTTCTCTTCCTCCTCCTCCTCCTCCTCCCAGGACTGCTCAGAGTGGGGACTGTCCTGGGTTGCTCCCTCAAGGAATCCCCTTTCCCTCACTTTGATCTCGATGACTCTGAAAAAGACAATTTGCAGGTGAGATTCTGTTTTCTGGGAAGGTGCTTTGCAGGAGGTTTTTAAAGTACCTATATATTACATATATATTATTTGTCCTATATATTATATATATAGGACAAATCCTGGTATTCTTGGCTGGGGTGGAACTGGGAAAGGAAAAAGGAAGGGAGGGGGACACACCAGTCTCTTTTATGCTAAAAAGTAACTCAACAGTATTGCTTATATATTCCAATTTTTTTATTTCTGCTTCCCTTTAAATCATATTGATTTAAACTTAATGGATATTGAAAATGAATTTTTATAAGGCTTATTTTAAAAAAATTGACTTTAAATTTTAAATCGGGTTTAAATTTAAACCTTCATCAGGTAACAAAGAATGAAGTGACTTACTAGCAACCTGCCAGAATTTTTGGTGAAAGGAACAAATAAAAAAAATGTTTTTCTTCATTTTTCTTTGATCTGCATTATATAACCAGTGCTCTCTTCCATTTTATAAAATAATATTTAATTCACAAAAAATAATAAATAACACATACTACCACTAACATTAGTAAAGCAAACCACATAGCCAAACAGTTCCCTGGGAAATACTATAAATAATTAAAAAAACCACCCCAAATCTACACACTAAAAATTTCTTTCGAATTATTAGATGTGCAGTGGGTGAGAAAAACAAAAGCCTTCAGTAATCTCTACCTTTCTCTGGCATCAGTGGAGATGAAATCTTCAGCAGTGGAGCATTGGAGCACAATGGTTGTTTGTCCTTTCTTTGCAACAAACTCTGGGTTTATCCCCAGTGCTCTCAGCCTGTTGGAATAATGCTTCTCTGCAGCTATTCTGGCATTTTTCTGTGGAAAAACCACAATGGTTCTGTGTTATCTAATGCATTGAATGCCTGCCTTTTGATGCTTTTATTGCCATTAATCTTCTGTTTCATTAATTGCAGCTGACAAGTGGAATGATTATTCACTGCAGGTAAGAATGGCAAAGCAAGACTTGAAAATTTTACATCAGATTTTCCTTTCCTGTGCTGGCAATTTTTGGTTGTGTTCAGAGCTCTGAACTGGACACACTTACAATGGTTAGTCACAAAAATTAGTAACATTTACGTGGGGCAACAGAGATTGAAACAGATAAACGCTGGTCTAAAAAGTGTTTTTTCAAGTGTCTCCTAAACATGTTTGACTACAAATGTCTTATTCAGTATCTGCAGTTAAGAATTGAGCAGTAACACAGAAACAAGGCAACCTGAGTGACTCTTTCAAAAAGCAAAGGCCTCTGTTTTACTCTTTCTTCCATTTCTTGCAACTCTTGCAAATATTCCTGCCTTCTCTGCTTCTCGTTGTTCCTAAGGGAAGCAGAGCACAGGAGAAATTGTTATTAATTTATAATACAACAAGTGACTTTCTACAGCAGCTAAATTGCTCATAACAAACTAAATATTGTCCCACTTCAAGATAAATAAAAGGTAAGTACTGAGCAACCCCATCTCTGAAGTTGTCACTTGGGCTAAGCAGAGGCAGGTTACTGAGGTTAAACAGAGGCTGAGTTTGGAGTCTTGGAGGTTTTGGGGATTTTAAAAACAAAAAATTTGGATACTTGGGGGTTTTTAAATGCTGATTTCACACAGATCTTCCAGCTGCTCTAAGCAGAATTAAACAGAGTACACCACAGGACATGAATAGCTTTAAATAAAAATCAGTGCTTTTAAAGTTTGGTGAGAATCCTGCTGCTTTAGCAGTTGATCTCCCATAGAACACTTTTTTTCCTAGTTGGTTTGTCAGGGGCCCAGTCAATAGAGCAGGACGATGAAACTGTTGATTCATCAGCTGAAATGGTCAGTTGGATCACAGCAAGCACTGGATAATCCAGGTAGGATGGGTGGTAGACACACACCTCACTGGGTCAAGGATGAGATCCAGGGGGCATTTTACCCTCCTGTCTCCTCCTGCCTCTCTCCCTGCCCATCTCTGAATTCCTGGGACGTGGCTGTGCATCAAGGCAAGTTATTCACCATTTTGGGGAGTGAACTTCCTTGCTGCTCCTTACTTGGAAGAGCACTTGCCCTAACAGAGCTCGTTGCCCAACTCTGCTGAAATGAGCATTATCAGGTTAAGCCCTGGAGCAGCCCCAGAGCCTCAGCACCAGGGAAATAACCTTGCTTTGCCATGGCATCATTTTATGTGCAGACAAGAATTAAGCCACGAGTGTTTTACAGAGCTCCTCAAATCTGATTCAGCTAAACACTGCAGTGTGAATTTTGCTGGTGAATGAACTCAAACCAAACCTGCACAAACACCCACTGTCTCTCTTCACTCTCCACCTACTCTGGCTCCAATTGTTTTCTGCTTCTGTCCCAGAGCCAGCGGATCATCTCCAAGGACACACACATTATAAAGCTCCTGTTCCTAACAGAATGCCTGGTTACTGGAAATTAGGAGTCCTGTTTGCCCAGGAATCCTGCCCAGGCATGAAGCAGCAGGGGCAGAGCACCCCGTGCCTCTCACCATCTCCACACAACAGCACCTGAAACTGGTGATCCTCCTGCAGTGCCATCGTGCCAGGCCAGATCACAAACCTCACTAAAGACTCAAACAGGATTAATTTTTTGTAAGATTAAAAAGAGCAAGAAGCAGAAATGGTTTTAAATCAGCCCCAGACAGCAGGTCAAGCAGCAGTTCTGGGGTTAGATCCGTGTCAGAGAGCTGGAGCCACAGTGTCATTCCCTGGGTGCTGCTTCCCTCAGTCGTATAGAAACAGTCTTTCAGTCATAACTCTGCTGCAGGTAACTTTGCATCCCACTCCTCCCAAACACCAGCAGCTTCCTGGGTAGCTGCTGTTACAGGTGTGAAGTTAAAAAAATATTCCTGCTCCCATTTTCCCTCTCCAGTGGGGCCTGCAGGGACAAAGAAGTGACTTGTGGGATGTTCACTGCCCCAGTGTGCTGACCCCAGTGCAGGATCCAGCTGTGCAAGGATATTCTGTAACTACACTGTTCATTTTCCTTTGAATTGTTATAAACTTTTCCTCTTTAGTTGATGTGTTAATTGAGAAAACACAGGAGTCCCCCGTTAGCTAATCTGTAATACTTTAAGGTGGAATATATATTTCTATGTATGTGTTCTAATGACTTCAATATAGATTGGCAACAATTTCCCAGTTGAAACACTAAATTTGACCATTTTCACTATCTGCTTGCACAATGTTTAATTTATCACATGTCATCATGTTAACTTAGACTACTTTTTTACACATTGTATGTTTAACATACAATGCAATCCTGAACCTCCCATTCTCATTGTTGGATGAGAGGTTCTGGATTCAGGGGAATGCCACGGAATACCTGAATGTTTTTAATTTGGATTTAGACATCTGAGCAAGGCTCTGATGTGGGTCAATGGCCTCAGCCCGAGCCAGTACAATTTTCTGGAATTTTTTCTTTCTTTGTTTCTGCTTTGTTCTGTTCCTTTTTTGTTGTTCTTCCAGCTTTCTCTTTTCCTCAAGTGAATTCCTGGTGGGGAAAATAAACTAAGGCTGAATTCATATTAAACCAAGAGCACCACTTCAAAGGAAGCTTTGGCAAAGATGATTCCAAGGAGGAAAACGGGGTTGCCATGAGAGGACACAAAGTATGTGCCATTTTAAGGGATTCAGGATATCCTGGGAAACAACAGTCATTCATCCCTTTCCTAGGGACATTCTGAGAAAAATTCACTATTGTTTCTTCAACAATCGTAAATTTAAAGTATTTTGGTTTATGTTATTTTAAGTTTTATATTATAATTAAGCCCTTATATTAACAAATTCAGTCCTGTATTTACTGCATGGAAGAATTAACTACATGTGTAGAAATACAAAAAAAAAATCTACTTTTAAAGCACATATAAAGTAGAACATCTCTAAGTAGTCACCTTAAGGCTTGTAGCCTTCGTCTCGTGGACTCTGTGTTTTTGGGAGACTTGGATTTTCCAGCTCCCAAGAGCTGGGAATTTGCACTTGAATGTCTCATTCGGGGTTTCCGTCTGGGAGAGGCGAATGGCCACCGGGTTTCCTTCAGCTTCTCTTCATCCTCCTCAATGTCCTTCAGAATCTTGCCCTTGTTTGAGGGGATATATGAAGTCAGAAGGTTGAAGGGCTCACACACCGTGAGGTCTTTCACTTGCCTTTGCTGCAGGAGCCGTTTCTGGAATCTCTCATACAACCTTTCAAAGTCTGGAATGCTGGAGTTGATCCTGGGTTTGTGTGCTGTTTGTTTTGGGTCAATGTTCTTGTGTTTCTTGGGTTTTTTGGTCTCTTTTGAGGCCAGCCTGCTGTTTGGGACAGAGGAATTACGCAGCATCTCCTCAGCTCTCATCCTGATCCTGATTTCCCTGTAGAGCTCCTCCTCCTTCAGCCTCTCATTAAAATCTGGGCTATAAACACACTTGGGAACCGGTTTTGCCCTGAACCCTTTGACCGGACTTTCAGGCATGGAAATGTCTCTTAACTGCATTTTCCTGATTTCACTCCTTTGCCTCTCTCGTTCGATGAATTTAAAGGGTTTCTGGGAAGCCAAGAGCTTGAGTTTGCTCCTCTCCCTCACAGACCTCCTGCGCTCCTCGTTCCGCTGCACGATGTCGTGGTAGAGCGGGAGGAAGACGGCGGCGGGCACCGGATTGGCCCGAAATTTTTTCTGGCACTCCGCTTCTTCCTCCAGCTGCTTCTTCAGTAAGTGATTCTCCAGCTCGATCTGTGACTTGGATTTAATGTTCTGTTCTTTCTTCTGAGCTTCTCTGATGGTCATCTGGAAAGGCTTGGGCACGGTGACTTTGGGGGACCACTCCTTGGGTTTCTTCCGGGCCTTCCTGCTGGTGGGCGAGGTGGGGGGGCTGTCTGGGAGGCGGGAGATGTAGTCTTCCATGGAGAACCCATCCCACATCTTCTCAATCCGTTGCTTAGCCAACGAGGATGATCCGGTTTCACTCCCATTTCCTTCAAATACTAATTCCACGTCAGACACATCGGATATAGTTGAGCCCAAGGGATCGCTTAAGTCGGAGTCTGAAAAGGATTTGTGCAAGTTTAGAGGCTGATACGAGCTCTTGTCCCAAGTTGGCCTTGGAAAAAGGGGAAAAAAAAAGCTTGGTTTGAGCCAGTCCAACATTGGTGCCAAGCCAGTAATTTCACTTTAAGGAATCATTGCTAGAAACAAAAGGGACAGCGGCTGAGGGGGACGAGAAGGGAAAAGAGCAGCACTCTGGGCACCAGATCCCAGTTTTGGTGCTGATCACTAAGCCAGCATGTCCTAGGGAAAGGCCCTGTGCTTTCCTAGACATGCTGCCCAGTCCCTGCTGCACACCCTCCTCTGAACCTCACAGACTGTTAGCGAGGTGATGAGCATTTTTATTATTAAAACTGACTGTTCTCTGATCTTTTGCTCACAGGAGATGGTGAGACGAACACTTTCCAGCCCCACAAACACAGCCTGCTGTTTTACAGCTCCCTGCAAAGCATCTGGGAATCCTCAGATAAAAAGTGCCCCCCAACCTACCTACAAGACTTAAAAGAGGTGTCCTTTCTCTTGTCCAAGGGTTGTGCTCCTCTTAAACGCAGTTTGTTCCGATACATACTTTCCAATTTTTTCATGGTCTCCAGGTGGGCATTCTTCAACTCTTCCAGCTTCAGGTAATACTCTTGATTTGAATTGCATATTTTGGAGAAGTCTATCCACTTGTCACAGTCTCCTTTTAGAGGGGGGGTCTGCGCTCTGTTGGTATTTGAATCCAAATCAAAGCCATCCTGGAAAAGATGTTTGTAAAATCCTCTGTTAGAAGAAAGGGGAACGAGGTTCTTAATGTTGCTTTATCCTAATTTAGTCTAATGGATGATACAGTAACACCAAATAGAGTTAACCTGTATACAAATGTTACTGCAGAGCTCCGTGGAATAATCTTATTGCATATTAATTTATGTCCTGGGGGCCCTATTTAAAGCCTGTAAAAATTCCCAAGTCTGTCCTGTTATCAATATATTTATAACAGGAGTTATGATCAAAAGGACTTACCAAAAGAAAAAACTATTTTATAAAGTGCAGTTTTTCCTTCATTACTATGCAGCTCTAAAAAAGCCTTTAGTTAAAAGCAAACAAAATCACAACAGAATCTTCTCTGCCTCCCATTGCCATAAGAATTCTAAAAATAAGTCATCAGAGATCTGGTGTATAAAAGTTTATTCCCATTTCCATAACTTACTGTGAGATGACAGGGATTCTGCAGAGCTTATGTGTCCAATACTGTTGGAACTACATATGCCAACTTATATATGACTATATATATAAAACATATATATATAACTATACTGCCAGCACTGGCAGCTGTGTGCAGGTAATATTCTTTAAACATTTTTAAAGCTTACACAAGTCAGGTTAATCTGCATTACAAAGGCTTCATTTTGTGCTTTTTTTTTAAAAAAAAAAGAAAAGAATCACGGGGTAATTTCTCTATCCTGAGAGTTAGAATACAACTTTTCCACACCGGAGCTATTTTAATAAGCTTTGACATTCCGACAGAAAGTCTTGTAGGTTTTCACAGCGAAAATCTTTTAACTCCGGCGTGGAAGAAACGAGTGGCCCAACGCAACGGGAATTCCGTGATCACAGAGGGAAATTCAAAGCGTCGTTAGAGAACCCCCAGTGAGGGGCATCATCCACCTCTCCCTGGATCTGTGTGTAAACCCCGCGGAGCGCTCCAAGCCTCTTCCCTGGGCTCGAGCACCGCCAGCCAGACGCCGGGCTGCCCCAAGCTCATTAAGGGATTGGCGCTGCAGCCGGGCCATCCATCTGCCAGGCCTCTCCCTGCCTCTACTGGCACCTCCTGCCCCATTCCAAGCCGGGAGGTGCCCACCCGGCTCGGGCTCCCGGTGCCGGGAGGTGCCTCCCCGGGGCAGGGCGGGTCCGGGCGGGCCCGTCCCGCCGCCCCAGGGATGCCCGAAGCGCCCCGCGGTACCTGGGCGGAGGGTGCGGGCGGCGGCCCCCGCTCGTAGAGCGCGGCGGGCGCTCTGGTGCGCGGGTCCAGCGGGGTGCGCAGGCAGGACGCGGCCAGACGGGCCGCCCGATGCGCCTCCTCCATCCCGGCCACGGGGCGCCCCACGGGCCGGGCGGGAAGCACGGAGGGAAGCGGGGACGGAGGGAGGGAGGGAAGGAAGGAAGGAAGGAGGGAGGGAGGGAGGTGGCTCCCGCTCCGCCCCCGCGCGTTATAACCGCCCTGCCCCGAGCCCGCCCCGCTCCCGCAGGGACCGGCACCGCAGCGTCCTCTGCGCCCGCGGGGAGCGGGCCATTGGAGTCCGGGGCTGGAGCTTGACTCCATCCCCTCTCCGCATCTGCTACGATCCTGATTTCTAGGTAGCTCTTTGCGGCATTTTAGTCGGAACCTGCAACTCCCTCCTTGACAAGCTCGAGGTTTTTGCGCCCTCAAGTCGCTAAAGAAGCTTTTTCCATCTTGGAGTTTGTACTTCAGGTAAGCAGTAACAGAATACAGCTAAAGCAGGACAAGCAGGAATGTTCTTCTGGAGAAATATTCCATCCTAGACTAGGATAAACTGGAATATTCTCCTGCAGGAATAATCTATCCTAAACTAGGATAAACAGGAATATTCTCCAGCAGGAATATTCTATCCTAGACTAGGATAAACTGGAATATTCTCCTGCAGGAATAGTCTATCCTAAATCAGGGTAAACAGGAATATTCTTCTGCAGGAGTATTCTGCCCCAGGAATAGTCTATCCCAAACCAGCATAAGCAGGAGTATTCTTCTGCAGGAATATTCTGCCCTAGGAATAGTCTATCCTAAATCAGGATAAGCAGGAATGTTCTGCCTCTGCAGAGGCATATTAATGATTGATGGACCTATTTGTTGTAGTGGAATAAAATACTTTTTATGTAAAGAAACAACGTACTTTTAATGTAAAGAAATATGAGAAGATGAAATCACACCCAATTGTTGTTGTAGGTCTTGTGGAGAATTGGAAGCTTGTGATAGTGGGGAATGAAAGCTTTAATCAGTGAGTAAGTACCTAAACTAAGACATCACTGCTGGATGTAACCCCTGTGGGGTAAGGCATGGTTTGCAATTTTAATCAGCCAATAAATAATTCATGCAGAGTATTAATACCTAAATCAACTGTCTAATTTATGTATTTTTATTTTGATTATTCTCTGTGTTCTACTTGGCAAGTCACAGGGAAGTATTTCAGCAACAGCAGGTCAACAACACGGTGGAAATTTCCTCAAAGGCTCCAGCTCCAACCAATCCTGAATGGAAGTGTGAGTGAGGTTCATGGAAGGAATACTCTCCTTTAAACATAAAGAGGAATTGGGTTCTTTCAATAGAGCAATAATGGAGATTAAAGGGTTAATTCAAAATGTCAGGCTAAGAATTAGAAGTTGTAGAAGTGTAACTTGCATTATTATAGACAATACTTTTTGACTTCTCAGTCACAATTAATTCGGGGGGTAGGGGAAGGAAACCATGTGTAAAGAGCACCCTTTGTAATACTCTGGCTCATGAGATGGCATCAGGAGTCACTGCCAACTTCACGAGACAGAAGAGAGCAGGGAATGTGCCAGTCACCGCACAGATCCTCCTCCCCTCCAGCCCGGCATCATTAGGGGCAGTGACACCACTCCCTCAGGGAGAGCTTTTGGAGGAGCAGCTCTAACTCAGCATGTTACTGGAGTGCACTTCAGGGCTGTTCTTAGAACACAGCACAAGAGCCAATTCGTTGCTGTTAAACTTTTCAGAGCTAAGTGAGAGCACAGAGCACGGAAAAGCACATGTAAAACATTGTTTTATAATTCTGGTAGAAATAAGGTAAAGATTTCGTAGGCTACTGTGTGTTTATTGATAAACAGCATTTCCTTTTGGGAAAACAAACTGTTTTTAAGTTAACCTGATCAAAGTACACAAGTCTCAGTGGAGTTTAAGACAATTCACACAGGCGCTTTTGGTGAGGAAACCGTATTCCAGGTTCCAGGGCAGGAGCCCTCGGGCACAGTCCCCCCTCTGCTCAGCTCAGCCTCGAGTGTTCACCTGCAAAGAGTTCACACAGTCAGGCATAAGAAATCACAGGATACATCACAATTACTTCCTTGCTTAAAGATCCTGGGGGTTTGGTGACCCTAATTCCTTGCTTTAAGGTGCAGTATTTATAAAGCGTTTTTGTCCCAACTGCTGTTACTAAAAGGCCAAATGGTCTTAAGTAGCATATAAACAGAGAATACTACACAGTAATTGTATTTTGAAGCACAGTAAGTTAATGCCATGAACCATCTTGGTGCTTCTGAAGGAAAGATGAACCAAAACACGACGCCAACACTACTCACCACATCATCGATCTTGAGAATGCTGCGCACGGTCTCTGTCGCCAGAGTCAGGGCACTCAGAGACACCAGCAGAGGCTGCACAACCAGCTCCTCCAGGATGTTGGAAATGCCACCCTGTGGGAACAAGGAGCCTTTAGGTTGTGCAAGTCAGACTACACTTAGATTTAGCACACTTTTTTTTTTTTAGTAGAATCCTGAGGACAGTCAATTCCTAGACTATCACAGGGCTTGTACTCCTCTATTCACAACAGGAGTGTTACAGAACACATCTTCTCTCCCCAGGCACTTGACATACCCTGCCAAAATTAGCCAAGAGAAAAGCTCAACAGTGACAACTGAAAAGAAGCTGGGCTGTGGTGCTACTCCTAACACATGAGCACCTTCCACTGCAGATGATTCTAAATGGATCTCCTGTTGTAGCTGAAATGCTTTTGTAGAGACATAGGATGTTTCTTGTCCTGTGGATAAGGTTTATAATAAATCCTGTTACCAATGCTCAGGGCGAGCTGTTTGTTGAGAGAACAAGCTGTAGTTTCCCTCAATGCTAATTTTAGGGAGACTGTTATGAGACAACAACTTGCCCTCTCACTAGTCCAGCCCTAAGGCGAAGCATTTTCCAGGTGTCATAACTCCTCCTTACCTTCCTGACATTAATGCCAGCTGTTTTCTCTCCTTGGGCATGTCTGTTCCTCAGCTCTGTCACTGTGGAAATAGGGTTGAGCCCTGCATTCTCAGCCAGGGTGGAGGGGATCACCTCCAGGGCATCCCCGTAGGCACGGACGCAGTAGGAGTCCATGCCCTTCAGGGTCCGGGCGTACTCATTGAGCCGCAGCGCCAGCTCGATCTCCGGGGCTCCTCCTCCTGCAATCAGAGCTCTGGGGGCAGAAAGGAACACCAAACCTCATCACAATCAGGCTTGGTGTGTTACTAACTTCCCACGTTAACCAAATGGTGTCATTACCTTTTCTTAACTAAGCATCTTATGACACACAGGGCGTCGTGAATGGAGCGCTCGGCTTCCTCCAGGACCAGTTTGTTGGATCCACGGACCACGATGCTCACAGTTTTCCCAGGGTTTGTGCAGCCTGTAATCTAAAACATAAAACCAAATACTAAGACTGGGGGGAAAAAGATTTCTGGACAAAAAGACACTTCCATCGGTGTTTTCAATTTCTGTAACAGCACTGATGTCTGGCCAAGCAAAACCACGGCACTGCCCAAGTTGGTGCTACTCAGAGCTTAGAAGCAGGTACTTAGATGTAATAAATTCAGTAATAAAAGCCATTAAAGTTATCAATTGTTATTAAAATAGCTGGCAGATGTTAAGATGTATTAACATTCTGTCCCTCACCCACCTTAATTAGTTTCCCAGAACCGTTCAGGTTGACCTCCTCTGCCAGCTCAGCAGAGCCCAGCATGTCAGGGGTGAACTGGTCAATGTGAGCCACAGGCTTAGTTCCAATTGTCTGGAAAAATAATGGGAAAAAAAAATTAATCCAGAGGCTGACTGCAGAGTCAGCAAGTATCCTGCATGTTGTTCTTCTGCTTATTACAGTAAAACAGTGTCAAGGCTGTGGCTTTTACATCCATCCTGAATCCCTCTAAAAGTGTGGCTGCTCAACAGAATGGGAATGGTTTTTAGGGTAAGGGCTGTTTTTGCGTATTATAGTCAAAACATGAAGCTTGAGAAAGTGTCTATTATAATAAACTGGCCCTGGCTGGGCAGTTAGTTTTGGGGTAGATTTGAAACACTGCTACTAATTGATATAACCCACTTTACCTTACATATAAACTCAATGTCTTCTCTTTCAATGTCTTTAACCACCATGATCTTAACTTTGTTCAGAAAATGGAGGGCCAGGTCACTGAGAGCATCCCTGAAAACGAGAAGGAAGGAATCAGGCCACAGTGCTCAAATTCCTTCAGAGTACAAAGTAAGGATGTCATGAAACTCAAAATAGAGACAATGAGACTGCTTTCCAAAGGTACAGTCACTGTTACTCTGCCAAGTAACTGTTACTACCTGGCTTAATTCTTCCAGGTTTTCCAAACAATTCAAATTGTTCCCTGAAACACAGACAGAAAGCCACTAACTTGGTATTAACATACCTAAGAATAGACTTCTGAATTAGCAGGACATTGCACCCAGCCTTCTTTATCTGCTTCACCAAATTCAGAATATAGGCTCTCTCTTCACGCAGGACTCTGTCCATTTGAGCATAATCAGAAACAACTATCTGGTTGTCCATCTATTTAAGAATAGAAAATAAGAGAGAAAAGCAACTATGAGCAACTGCTGACTTAAAAAGCAAGTGTCCAAACATTCCGTGTTCTTTAATTTAGCACCCTGTGATTCAAAGCCAACAAGCACAACAGTAAAGTACATCTTATTAGAAATGGTTCAGTATTTCTTATAGTTTCAAACAATTTTGGTTTTTCATACTAACTGTTTTTTTAAGACCCAGCAGACCTTCCCTCTAGCTGTGGCACAGAGCTGACATCACAGCATCTTAAAAAAACACGTGTTACCATTACATTTGCATCTCCCAAGTCCCAGAGCACGAGGCTTCTCTCTAGTCCCAGTCTGACTTACATCTGTCTTTGGAGCTGACAAGCAGAACTGGATGAGGCCAATTTTGGCTTTTTCCACTCTGGTCACGCCGGTATTTGCCACTTTCTGAGTCAGGACCAGTCCCTCAACCAGTTCACAATCATCAATTGTGCCTCTGGAAACAAACACAAGCCATGACTGGAGTGCTCTGGGAGGCCGATTTCACAGGGATAAAATTTATCCAGTTACAAGTTGTTTCTTACCCCAACTTCTTAACAATTTTAATATCTCTGAGGTCCACACTGTTGGCTGTAGTTGGGTCAATCACCTTCATCACGGCGTCCACACTCATCGGAGAAAGCAAACTGGAATACTGACACACAACCTAAGGGATTTGATCATAAAGAGAGATTTAACACTGAGAAACGGCAATTCCCAAACAATGTTGTCATTGCACTTCAGTGTTTGACTTTGGAATTTTGAATCAAAGCTTGTTTTCCCTCCCTGCCCACCAAGTGTCTCAACAAGGCGTTTTCCTGACGGCTGCTCCTGGGCAAGGAAGGAGCGACGCCGGTGGGGAAACCCCAAAGACAACTGAATTTCTCTCTCTTAGAAAGGCTCTTAAAGTGAGACTTTTGAGCCTAGATTTATGACGTTCAGGGTAGTGTTAGTAAAGGAAGAGCAGCACAGAGTGGGAGAAGCTGGAAGGCCTGGCCTGGCTTGGCTGGAGGTTCCCAGTCCAGGAGCTGCCGTACCTTTGAGTTCAGCGAAGTCGTTGCACTGTTAAGCAAAGTCTCCCTGTCACTGAGCTCCACTGGCTGGGCCATGTTGGTCAGCACCTCAATACCCTTGTCCAAAGCTTTCTGGAATGACTCCGAAATGATGGTGGGGTGAATTCCTGTGCATAGAGAAAGAAAGGCTGTCAGGCAGTTCATGCTTTCAAACCAATGGTTCTTTCTTTTTTTTCTTCACCTCCTTTTTTCCACTTGAAAATTCAAGAGACTCAGGTCAGAATAAAAGGAAGATGATTCAGCAATATGTTCTTCACAGGTGCATGACCTCCCTGATTACTTTCCACCGTTAAAACTGAGGGAAAAAGCTGTAACATTCCAAATAATTTGTCCTCACAGACAATTCCTGCCATGCCTGACATCCCACAAACACCTTCCCCAAGTTCCCTTTGCCCTTGACAACCTCAAAACTGCTGCTGTTCAGGTGATGCCTGTGAGGAGCCTGACAGGGATTTTATTTCAGATTTTATAATCAGATTTTCCCACAGTTCTGTAGGAAGCTCCTCAATTTCCCTGGAGTGGGATGCACCCTTTATCTTTTCCACTGAGAACAGCTACTTTAAGTCTTTGTCATACACAAGTGGACAGAAGACTTTACTACTTGCATATTAAATATATATTGTATATATATTTACCTTTTTGAAGGAGTCTGGAACAGGCATCCAAAAGAGCTCCAGCAATGACAACAACAGATGTTGTCCCATCACCAGCTTCAATATCTTGTGCTTTCGACAGCTCTACCAACTAAAGGAGAAATTATGACAGAAGTTTATATATATATGTATAAAATATATATATATTCCTGCTTACTTGCAAACACAATAATAAAAATGAGACATTCAGGAACACAGCACTACGGGAATTAACTTTGATATTAGGTTGAATCATGTCTCTTTTTAATTTGAAGTGTGCACCTTCTGCAATTTCCTTCCCACACCTGTACCCCTGTTTGGCTGAAATAAAACTGTGGTCAAATAAATCACTTAGAGAAGCAAAGCTTTCTCCTGTCCAACAGGTTTACCTTTTCCTTCCCTGGAGGAAGGTCACAGGAAGCTCATTTCCACCTCCAACCACAATCAGATCCAAGAGGAATACACTGAACATCCCAAAGGACCAGGGTGCTGCATCCTCACAGCACTTAACCACAACTTAACTCATTCCCTTCT